GCGGGCGTTCCAGGTCGAAAGCCGCCGGTGGCCCAGAATCGGCCAATCTATAGAACGAGCAGGCGATCGGAAAGGCACCGATCGACGGAGCACGCGGCGTCAGAAGCCAAAGCGGAGCTTCGTCGGGACACGAGCCCGCCTCGAGTGCTCTGACAGGCATGGGCGCGTGCGTGGCTCGCAGTGCAATTCCTCCGGTATGGGGGTGGTGCCCGTGCCGCGTGCGCTCGTGGCCTGCATGGGTAGCAATTCACGGGAGTGGTGCTCACGCAGCGTGTGAGCGTGGCCCGCACGGCAGTGTGCGGCAGACATGGCGCCCAGTGGTTTGTTGGCGTCTGGTTGGCCTCCCTCTCCTCTCCGTCTCGCCTCCCGCTCGCCTCCCCCCCTCCCAGGCCCCTCCCATGGTGCGCCGCGCGGCGGAGTCTCGTACTTCGTTGGAGCACAGGGTACGTCGGTAGGTTCCCGAGGCACAGTGCCGGTACAGCTGCCGCTGTTTCCTTACCCCTTCTTGCACGCAGGCTCGCATGTCTTTTCTTTCAGATCTCGCCAATGCGCCATCAAGGCGCGGATGTTTGTGCACGGTTTGGTGCCCATTCAGTGCGCGCGCGTGTTACTCACTGTGTCAGTTGACCAGGGCTCCTGCACGCTCAGCTCACGCGCGTGGCCCGCATGTTCTTTTGTTCTTGTGGTCGCATGAAGGGTGCGCGCGGGCCCGCATGGTGTTATCTGGCAGGGAAAAAGGAGGCCGTGGCCCGATGAGATCTGGTCCAGCTGCAGGTCAAGAGTCATACTATGGATGCTGCGCAGGCGCAGCATTTGAATGATGAGGGCAGTGACGAGGACACGAACCGCGGGACTGTGATAGTGATGATGGCATGTCTGCGCGTTCCGGCAATGGTAGGAGGGGGATAAGGACCTGGACAAGGTCCACGATATGGACGAGGGCCGAGAAGACGGAGGAGGAGGAGGAGGAGGAGGAGGAGGAGGAGGAGCAGGAGGAGCAGCAGGACCAGGAGAAGAACGAGGAGAATGACGGAAGTTTGCCCCCGCCTGGGATCCGGACCCCCAGAGGTCTCCATTGCAGTGTTCCCCATGGCGGGGGCCCCGGGAGACTTTCGGAAGCGTTCAGTGTGTAGGCAGCCAATTCCTGCCTCGATATCCTCGAGGGTGGGAGGGGAGATCGGAAGCTGGAACACATACACTACCAGTGGCGGGCTGTTTTTCAATCCCAGGGCTTTCTGAGGGTCGGGGACGACGTTGGGGTGGCGTGGCGTACAATCGGAGATGGGGTCGGAGATGGGGTCGGAGGACCGCCGCAGCATCGCCGACGCATCGCCGCTGCAACGGCGACGTCGGCGATGTATCCGCACCGTCGACGTGGAGAGCATCGGGATCCGCATCGATGCGGTTGACCCTAAAGGGGTCCAGCGAACAGAGGGTGGTACAATAGATCTGGTGCCATAGATTTGTTGGGTTGCAGTAGATTTGGGGTCTGGTGCGCAGAGGCACCACCGGATTTTCCCGCGCAGCACGTACAGTTGCAATACCATTGCCCCAAACCTGTTGCACCCCCCCTTTCAGCTGCTTCCCCTGATGGGCCAACAAACATCGAGCCGCCTCGCCGATGAATTGGCGATCCGACCGCATCTACTGCGCGCCCAGCAGGGCCTTAGTGGGCCCTGGGAACGACAGGGCCGTTCTTGTACCGGTTCCGTTTTGCCGCTTTTTTGCCAGTTCCGGCGCCGTTTTTTCACCGGCTCCGTCGCCGTTTTTTGACCGGTTCCGGCTCCAGTTCCAATCTTGGAGCCGTTTTTGTTGCCGTTTCTGGTCGCCGTTTTTTTCTTGCTGTTTCCATTTTCAAGGGACATTTTTGTGGAAACGGTGAAAAAACGGCCCTGCTGTTTCCCGGGCCCGCAAAGAGCAGGGCGGCCTGGAGGAGCGGCCGCCCTGGTCCAGCCGGGGCGTGCCGCGCTGGCGCGGAGAGCCTCGCGCGTCGCGCCCCATCGCGGGGCCCGCTGCGCGCAGCGGGGTGCCTTCGGGGCGAGCGAGGCCGCTCGCGGCCTGGCCGGCGCGTCGTCGGAGTGCCGCGGCGCCAGGCGGCCGGGTCGGCGGAGGAGGGCTCACAGGATGTCGGGCTATCCTCGTCTTCGTCCCCGTCGCCGTCGTCCTCGTCAGTCTCACATCACGCATGCTACCCTCCTCTCTCCCCTGCGGTTTGCTTCAACGCAGGATTTGGCAGGTTGGTTTGTCTGGTGTTGTGCTCAGTTCAGTTGTCTCCAGTGAGAAAACATGATGGACCCACGAACCCGGAAAGGGATATAGACATGTGCAGCATGGTCACGTTTTCACGATACCCAACTGGGCGACACCTCGCGAAACATCCCACGAAACACCCCGCGAAACATCCCACGAGACACCTCACGAAACATTCCACGAGACACCTCGCGAAACATTCCACGAGACACCCCGTGAAACATTCCACGAGACACCCCACGAACAGGCAACCACTCAACCAGACACCCCACGAAACATTCCACGGGGGTGCGTCTGGGTGTGGTCGTGCTGGGGTGTGGTCGTGCTGGGGAGTGGTCGTGCTGGGGAGTGGTCGTGCTGGGGTGTGGTCGTTCTGGGGGGTGGTCGTGCTGGGGGGTGGTCGTGCTGGGGTGTGGTCGTGCTGGGTGGGGTCGTGCCGGGGCGTGGTCGTGCTGGGGCGTGGTCGTGCTGGGGCGTGGGCGTGCGAGGGTGTGGTCGTGCTGTGGTGAGGTCGTTCTGGGGTGTGGTCGTGCTGGGGTGTGGTCTTGCTGGGGTGGGGTCGTACTGGGGTGTGGTCGTGCTGGGGTGTGGTCGTGCTGGGGTGTGGTCGTGCTCGTGCTGGGGTGTGGTCGTGCTGGGGTGTGGTCGTGCTGGGGTGGGGTCGTGCGGGTCGTGCTGGGGTGTGGTCGTGCTGGTCGTGCTGGGTGGGGTCGTGCTGGGGTGGGGTCGTGCTGGGGTGTGGTCGTGCTGGGGTGTGGTCGTGCTGGGGTGTGGTCGTGCTGGGGCGTGGTCGTGCTGGGGTGGGGTCGTGCTGGGGTGGGGTCGTGCTGGGGTGTGGTCGTGCTGGGGTGGTCCGCACCCTGTGATTTATCGATCGGGTCTTGCTGGGGTGTGGTCGTGCTGGGGTGTGGTCGTGCTGGGTTGTGGTCGTGCTGGGGTGTGGTCGTGCTGAGGTGTGGTCGTGCTGGGGTGTGGTCGTGCTGGGGCGTGGTCGTGCTGGGGCGTGGTCGTGCTGGGGTGTGGTCGTGCTGGGGTATGGTCGTGCTGAGGTGGCCCGCACCCTGTGATTTATTGATCGGGATTTCAAAAACAAGCGTTTCGCCTGAGACATCCTCAAATTTTAATCCGCGAGCCCACCTCGACCTTGATATTTATCAGGGAAAGAATCCGCCGGCCCACCTCAGTTGAGGCACCGGGGACAAGTTTACATGCTAAAAGAAAACCCTGGGCCTATGCCCTTTCCGGGAAAAACTACTTGGCGGCGATCGCGGGTTGGCGGCGCGTGATCCAGATTTAGCCGCGAGGTGCATTCTGTATGGTTTTTCGTCAGGGATGGTAGCCCTGCGCGCAGCATGGTGCGCTGGCGAGTCATTGTCCGATAAACGACGAGGTCGAAGAGGGCCGGCGAATTAAAATGTGAGGATGTCCCGATCGATTGTTTTGCAGAATTTGTTGAGGATGTCTCGAGCGAAACGCTTGTTTTGTGTTCAAGATTATCCTCGCCTTGGGACCAGAATTCAGAGGATCTCTCAAGTGAAATGCTTGTTTTCACGTGCCCAGGTCTTGAGGATGTCTCGAGCGAGACGCTTGGTTTCACGCGTCCAGGTTGCCCAGGCAGATGTCTGGCATGAGGATTTGTTGAGGACGTCTCGAGCGAGACGCTTGTTTGCGCGTGTCCAGGTTGCCCAGGCGGAGGTCTAGCATGAGGATGTGTCGAGAATGTCTGAGCGAAGCGCTTGTTTTCACGTGTCCAGGTCGCCCAGGCACAGCACAGCCTTCGGCACGGTACATCAAGATCGATACACTCAGCATTGCAACCTGGCGGGTCCCGTGGCGAGTCCCCCTGGCACGTCGCGCGGCGCGTCCCCTGGCACGTCCAGTGCTACGTCCATTGGCACGTTCCGTAGCATGTTGCCTTGGCACGTTCCGCTGTGCGTCCCCATGGCGCGTCACTTGGCAAGTCGCCTGGCGCGTCCCTTGGGACGTTCCGCGGCGCGTCCTTCTGGCATGTCCCCCTGTCAATTAGCTCTGGGGCAGCTACTATGTGCTCTCAGGCAGCTCGAGCTTAAGATCCAGATCAGTTCGGTCAGGACTCGGATGCAAAGAGGACTCGATCCACAACGCTACACAGTGGGGGCGCGCATCAAGAAAACCATCTACTTTTCGTCAGGGGATCCTGGGTTTCTTTGCTCCGCGCGCTGCGCGTTGACTTCCCGCGGCCGTTGAAGGAGCTGCTACGTTCAGGGTGCTCCAGGCTTCCCCTCAGGTGCACCTCGCGCACGGGTTCTCAGGGTTGGGTTTCTTGCGAGGGTTTCTTGCGGCCGCGCCCGCACTGTAGAGCACAATCGCGGCATGGCACATCGCAATTCAGCACGGTGCAGCACAGCTAAGCCCTCGGCACGGTACAAGATCGATACATTCAGCATTGCATTTGCCCGTCGCCCAATCAGGTGTCTTTAAAGCGTTGCCATGCCTAGCATTTCTATATTCCTTTCCGGGTTCGTGGGTCGATCATGTTCAGTAGTACCAAGACAGAGACAGAGAGAGAGAGAGAGCGAGATTGATAAAGAGAGAGAGTGAGAGAGTTCCAGGCTCCCACGAGGACTCCCACGGGGTCTCCTACCAAGACTCATGCTAGCACCCGTCCGTAGCCATTTATTTTGGCTGAAGTTTCCACGATTGGACGCAGGTCTTGAAGCAGGCGCGATTGCTCCTCCTGCCTCTGCAAACCAGCCCCCCGCGCCGACACGATGGGCTGCTGCATGGCCTCCCGCCAGGCCCTCGCGCCCGAGGACCAGCAGGCCAGCGGGCCGCCCCCGCACATGCCAGATGTCGCGGAGGTGTCCGTGCCCGAGGACCCGCATGAAAGCAACGCCTTGCCCGAATCTTTGGCGGCGCCCGTCGACCAGCAGCACCCGCAGGAGGTCCCCAAGAAGGAGGAGCAGGAGTCGTTCGGCCAGACTCGGTATACGGACCCCGCGAGCCTCTTCGACGCGCTCGCGTTCACCGTAGAGGGCCTCCACCCCGTGCGCTTGGTCCGCATGTCGTGGCTGCTGCAGCAGCGTGGCACGGTCCTGCATAGGCGCCAGGAGCTGCCGGAGGAGGCGTTCGTGTCCCCGGACGAGTTGCGGGCCGTTTGGGAGGCCGGCGGGCGAGGAGGACTAGACCAGGTGGCGCCGATCGTCACTATCTCGTTCTGCTGGGACTCACGCGAGCATCCCGACCCCAATGGGGTGCAGCTGAGTTTGGTGATTGACACCCTGGAGGAGGAGCGCCACAAGTACTCCAGAGCAGAATTCTGGAACTTCTTCAAGGGGTTCAGCGAGATGGGAGTCTTCTGGGACTGGCCCTCGCTGCTGCAGGGCGACCCGACCAAGGCCGAGGAGGCGAAGGCCGCCGCCTTGCGGCAGGGCAAATCCGAGAAGGACGCGCAGGAGGCCGCGGACGAGGCCAAGCGGACCCCCGCCGAGAAAGCCGCCTTCAAGCACGCGCTGGAGGATACAATGGACCTCTGGTACGCCCACCAGGCCACCACCGTTCTCCTGCTCACCCAGCACCCCCGCGAGCGGGGCAGCGCGCGCGAGTGCGGCTACGACCAGTCCGGCTGGACGACGTACGAGCGCTGCTCTGCGGAGCAGATCAAGAAAGTGTTTCGCTTGGAGGCGAGGTGGAACGCCGTGGCCGACCTGGGGCATGGGGCAGGGGCGAAGGAGGCCGGGAGGAGGTGGCCGGTGGGCCCGGACGAGTTCGACCGGCTCATCGAAGACAGGTCGTTCACCAACGGCGCGGACCGGGAGGCGGTGAAGGCGCTCTTCCGCAAGATGAGCCGCGCGCAGCTGGGCGGCGTAACGATGCTGGAGTACACCGGGATGCCGCCCCCGACCCCCGAGCAGGCCGCGGGGCTCGCAAGCTGCTTGCGGCTGTGCGCCCGCTTGGAAATTCTTCGAATGCATTGGACCTGCATCGGCGTCGAGGGCGCGCGGGCCCTGGCCGGGGCGCTGCCCTCCCTGCCCAGCCTGCAGAAGCTGCACCTGTCCGACAACAGCATCGGCGCCGAGGGCGCGCGGGCCCTGGCCGGGGCGCTGCCCTCCCTGCTTGGCCAGCTGTACCTGTCCGGCAACAACATCGGCGCCGAGGGCGCGCGGGCCCTGACCGGGGCGCTGCCCTCCCTTCCCGCCCTGCAGGTGCTGCACCTGTCCGACAACAGCATCGGCGCCGAGGGCGCGCGGGCCCTGGCCGGGGCGCTGCCCTCCCTGCCCGGCCTGCAGGTGCTGCACCTGTCCGACAACAGCATCGGCGACGAGGGCGCGCGGGCCCTGGCCGGGGCGCTGCCCTCCCTGCCCGGCCTGCAGGAGCTGCACCTGTCCGACAACAGCATCGGCGCCGAGGGCGCGCGGGCCCTGGCCGGGGCGCTGCCCTCCCTGCCCGGCCTGCAGGTGCTGCACCTGTCCGACAACAGCATCGGCGACGAGGGCGCGCGGGCCCTGGCCGGGGCGCTGCCCTCCCTGCCCGGCCTGCAGGAGCTGCACCTGTCCGCAACGAGGGCGCGCGGGCCCTGGCCGGGGCGCTGCACATCGGCGCCGAGGGCGCGCGGGCCCTGGCCGGGGCGCTGCTCCCTGGCCTGCAGGGCTGCTGTCCGCAACAGCATCGGCGCCGAGGGCGCGCGGGCCCTGGCCGGGGCGCTGCCCTCCCTGGCCTGCAGTGCTGCGACCTGCAGGAGCTGCACCTGTCCTACAACAGCATCGGCAACGAGGGCGCGCGGGCCCTGGCCGGGGCGCTGCCCTCGAGGTCCCTGCCCGCCCTGCAGGTGCTGTCCCTGTCCGACAACAGCATCGGCGCCGAGGGCGCGCGGGCCCTGGCCGGGGCGCTGCCCTCCCTGCCCGGCCTGCAGGTGCTGCACCTGTCCGACAACAGCATCGGCGACGAGGGCGCGCGGGCCCTGCGCGGGGCGCTGCCCTCCCTGCCCGGCCTGCGGGAGCTGCACCTGCGCAACAGCATCGGCAGCAACTGCTTCCTGGCCTGCATCGGCAAGGCGGCGCTGCGGGCGGCCTGGGGCAGCCGGGGCGATGGTTTGATTGTCTGAGCTGGGGGCGCCTGCCCAAGGAGGCACCGAGGAGTGGCGAGAGGGCGGGACGGGTGGAGGGCGAGAGGGATGGAGGGAGGGGAGTAGAGCCGGAGGGTGCGCGCGCCCACCCGAGCTCAGCCGAGTCCGCTCCGTGCATCATATTGAGCGGGCAAGATTTTATTGCAATTGCGAAAACCATACGCACTTTCACCCACGCGCAAGTACATTGCATCCAGTGCGCATTATATTTCATCCAGGCGCCAACTGCTGCAATTACTATTACACCTCTCCCCGCGTTTGCCCTTGTCTCCCCCTTGTCTCATCTTCATCTCTTCGTGCTCCTCCATGAAGGGCTGCGCCCACCTAGAGCGCCAAAGTGCTAAGCAGCAGTACGCTGCTTACACAGGCCCGGGGGTAGGACTCGATGCGATACGGAGCTCGTCCGCGCAACATCTGTTTCACTTGCACTGGGCGCGGGCGCTCCAGGATTGGTTAGTTCTTGCCACGAGCTCTAGTTATGCATTGAGCTGCTACTCTATCGAGCACCAGGCTGCCGCCGCAGCCGTAATTACCTAGCTTTGCATTCGTGTCTCCTTGACCCTGTGCTCCATCGGGAGCGGCTGCAGTGCCAGGCTCGTGCCCCGGGCAGTCGAGCCTACATGGAGGCCTCTGGGTCCCTCCTGCTCCATATCTCCTCTCAGCCCCGTCCTTCCTTCTAAGTGCATCCTTGGCGGTGCACGGTACACTGCGAGGCTGGCGCCATGAGCTGCTACTCTGCCAGTGGCTCACATGCCCTACGCGCGTTTTGCCTCTGGGTTGGCCATTGTGTCTCCTCTGTCCGAGTGCTTTTTTGTAGGACTGCAGCTTTCCAGCCCGCGCCGTTACAGTGACAGTGATGACTTAGTGCGGTGCTCTGTGAAAGCTGACAGGCTTCACATGCTATGCATGCATGTATCCATTACGTTCTGTGTCTTTTTTTCTCCGCCTCGCCTGATGCAAAAGCTGCAAAGGCAAGAATCCTTGCGGTGATGGGTAAACCGCCACTTTGGCTACGCTGCTGTGCACTTCTGGAGGAAGAGGATTCGAACACGTGGAGGACTCCTGCTGACGAGCACGCGTCCATGGAGTACGGATTGCAGGTTGCAGGCGTAAGGACCACCCCTGTTTCACGCTCCTCCCCCTGCCTCTCACGTCTCACTCCGCATTCTGGAACAACATTTGCTCACTCGTTGTCTATGCCCTCCCCCTCCGCACAGTGGCACAAAGCTTGTTCACTGTTCACTCGTTGTGTATACATCACTTACGTCTCTGCCGTGCACGGCTGCGTGCGCGTTTACAAGCGTTGTCAGGGTTCCGAAGGTTGTTTCACAGAGGTTTTCTGCATATTCCAATATCTGAGTCCCTCAATAGTTTGAGGGCCCTGGTCTACCGCTATCCCCCAGACTACATGTATCCCTCCCCCGGACTACAGGTACTCGATTCGGAGGCATGAGGTGCCTGGATAGTTTATGGCGAGCCGCAGCGTTTCCAATACTTGGAACGCAAAGAAGTGCGAGCGCGCCACGCCTGGCCCTACGGTACACGGGGGGGAGGAGAAGAGATACGACGAGGATGACCAGGCTTGAGGGGACGGTCATTCCTGTCTTTGTTTGAGCGGATACAAGCGCTTCTTTCGCGTTGGTCGGCCGAATCTCGTTGGCGTCGTCTCCGTCGCCGTCTGCAAGCATACGTGCAAACGCACATCGCAGTGTTGTTTCACACAATTCGCAACATTTGCTCGCTTCCAAGACTTGCTTGTGCTGGCGTGCGGACGCACATGGACGTGCTCTTCATTGCCTGGCGCTCCAACCGCTTCGCTGACAAGAAGAGCTGGAGTATCTGCAAGAACGTCGTCATCGACGTTGACGTCTTCGTCGTCGTTCAGGGTCGGCGGCACTGGCCGTAAGGCCTCTCCAACAGACTCAGATGGGCCAGTGGGCTTCCAGGACGGTTCAAGATGGTATCGAAGATGCCTGCGGCGAATCACCGCCGCCCCTTGTCTTGTGAAAAGCGCCTGTGTGGCCAAACATTCGGCCCCAGCTTTGCCTGGCTATCGGACTATATGTTGCCCCAGCAGCTCTAGAAACTCATAGGGGAACACTTGGGGGGAGGGAGAGGTGGAGGATCAGGAGAGGGAGAAGGAGGAAGAGGAAGAGGAGGAGGAGGAGGAGGAGGAGGAGGAGGAGGAGGAGGAGGAGGAGGAGGAGGAGGAGGAGGAGGCCTCTTGGGAGCCTCTTGGGGCACTCTTGGGGCCTCCTTGGAGCTTCCTGGGGGCCTCCTGAAGGCCTCTTGGGGGCCTCCTTGGCCTCTTGGGAGCCTTAGGGGGCTTCTCCGAGGTGTCTTTGGCCGCCTTGGGGCGTTCCTGGCCCGTCTGACGCCGTCGGAAACCGTTTGGGGGGCCTCTCTGAACCGACTTGGGGCCTGCTTGGGGCGATTCAGGGTCGTCTTGGGAGCCATTTTGGGCGTCTTGGAGCCGTCTTGTGGCCGTATTGGAGCCGTCTTGGAGGCCTCTTGGGCCGTCATGCGGCCATCTTGGAGGCCTCTTGGGCGATCTTGGGGCGACCTTGGGGGACTCCTGGGCCGTCTTGGGCCGTCAGAAGGCCGAAATGAAGAAAATGCCCAAATCCTTAGAGACCGTCGGAAAATTCATATTTGGGCATTTTCGGGTCTTCCTGGAGGACCTCTTGGAGGCCCCCCGGCGTTCCCCTCGGCGCAGTAGGCCATCGCGCACGCCTCCCGCAGTGACCCCCCCCCTCTCGATCCTGACCTCCCGCCGCCGCGCGACGCCCCCCGAAAGAGAAGGAGGAGGAGGAGGAGGAGGACGAGGAAGAGGAAGAAGAAGAGGAGGTCGTCGACTGCAAGGCGCACCCGCAGCGCCAACCCCCTCCCGCCTGACCCCTGCACTCCCTCTCCCTCCGTGGCCGTCGAACGCGCCGGTGAGGCGGAGGAGGCGGAAGAGGAGGAGGAGGAGGAGGAGGAGGAGGAGGAAGAGGAGGAGGAGGAGGAGGAGGAGGCTGGAGGAGGGATCGGAAGAGGTGGGAGGCCCAGGCTCGGGAGGGAGAGCGCGCGTACTGCTCTTTCGTGAGTGCCCTCCCCCTCCTCCTCCTCCTCCCCCCCCCCCTCCTCCTCTCCTCCTCCTCCCCCTCCTTCTCCTCCTCCTCCTCCTCCTCCTCCTCCCTCCTCCTCCTCCTCCTCCTCCTCCTCCTCCTCCTCGGAGAGGAGCCGCCAAAGGTGCTTCTGGGCCTCGGGGCGGCGGCGAGGGGCGGGAGCAGGAGGTCCAAAAGTGGCGTGTCCAGCGAGGGCCCCCGGGTGGAAGCGGAGCCGTATGGCATGGCCGCAGGTCGTCTCTGACGCCAGCCGACCCGCCCAATGCTTGCCTGCGGCCCGCAACGAGCACCGGAGAGAGCCTCAGGAGGAGCAGGAGGAGGAGGAGACTTCTTGGGAACCGTTTTGCGAGGCCTCTTGGGCCTTCATGCGGCCATCTTGGAGGCCTCTTGGGCGATCTTGGGGGCCTCTTGTACAGTCTTGAGCCGTCGGAATGCCGAAAAAGAGCAAATGCCCAAATGTTTCAAAACCCTTAGGAAACTCAGTGATTTTGGTCTTTCCGGGTCCTCCTGGAGGATTTTTGGAGGCCTCTTGGGCTGTCTTGGAGGCCTCTTGGGGGCCTCTTGGGCCATTTTGAGGCCATCTTAGGCCGTCTTGGGTGCATCTTGGGCCGTTTTAGAGGCATCTTGGGGCCATCTTAGCCGTTTTGGAGGCCATCTTGGCCGTCTCGGAGGCCTCTTGGGGCCCTATTGGGGCCGTCATGCGGCCGTCTTGGAGGCCTCTTGGGCGATCTTGGATAGTCGTCGGAATGCAGACATGATCGACCCACGAACCCGGAAAGGAATATAGAAATGTAGCGCATGGCAGCGTTTTCAAAGACACCTGATTGGGTGACGGGCAAGTGCAATGCTGATTGTGTCGATCTTGATGTACGGTGCCGAGGGCTGTGCTGTGCTGCGCCGTGCTGAATTGCGATGTGCCATGCTGCGGTTGTGCTCTATAGCGTCGTGGATCGAGTCCTCCTCTGCATCCGAGTCCTGACCGAACTGATCTGGATCTTAAGCTCGAGCTGCCTGAATACATAGTATCTGCCCCAGAGCTAATTGACAAGGGGACATGCCAGGAGGACGCGCCGCGAAACTTACCAAAGGACGCGCCAGGCGACGTGCCAGGGGACGTGCCATGGGGTCGCACCGTAGGACGTGCCAACGTGACGCGCTACGGAACGTGCCAATGGATGTGCCACGCAATGTGCCAGGGGACGCGCCACGCGACGTGCCAGGGGGACTCGCCAAGGGACGCCCCACGGAACGTGTCAAGGAACGTACCAAGTTGCGCAGCTGATTGTATCGATCTTGATGTACCGTGCCGAAGTCTGTGCTGTGCTGCACCGTGCTTAATTGCGATGTGCCATGCCGCGGTTGTGCTCTATAGCGTCGTGGATCGAGTCCTCCTTTGCATCCGAGTCCTGACCGAAATGATCTGGATCTTAAGCTCGAGCTGCCTGAACACATAGTATCTGCCGCAGAGCTAATTGACAGGGGGACATGCCAGGAGGACGCGCCGCGGAACGTCTCAAGGGACGCGCCAGACGACATGCCAGGGGACGTGCCATGGGGACGCACCGCGGGACGTGCCAAGGGGACGCGCTACGGAACGTGCTGGGGACAAGCGTTTCGCTCGAGACATCCTGTCAACATCCTCATTCTAGACATCCGCCCGAGCGACCTGGACACGTGAAAACAAACGTTTCGCTCAACACATCCTCAACACATTCTCATGCTAGGCATCCGTCTGGGCGAAATGGACACGTGAAAACAAGTAGTTCGCTCGAGACATCCTCAGCACATCTTCATGTGAGACGTCCGCCTGGGTGACCTGGGCACGTGAAAATAAGCGTTTCGCTCGAGACTTTTTCAACACCTC